CGATCCGTGGGGTGATCAACATAATCACCGGTGGATCCATTGTAGCGGGGTGCAACACGGCAGCAGGGAAAGCATCAGTCCAATAGCTCATGCATGAAGAAGAAAACCCACGGAAGCACCCACGGGTGGAGGAGGTGATCTACTTCACTGAGGATGACGCTCGCGGGATCCAATACCTATATGACGATGCCTTCGTAGTCAAAATGGTGATTAATGACTTTGAGGTGAAGCGGATATTGGTGGACTCAGGCAGCTCTGCAGATATCCTGTTCCTAGAGGCGTTTGACAAGTTGCAGTTGGAGTGGAGAGACGTGGTGAAGCCCCTCGGCAGAATCACGGTTCCAATTGCAGCAGGAGTGAGGCCTAACACAGTTCGGTTCAAGCACACATTCCTGGTGGTTGCGAATCGGTCCCCCTACAACGCAATTCTAGGTCGGCCCATCTTGCATGCCTTATGTGTGGTGGTGTCGACCTACTACCTCGCAATGAAATTCCCGATGAGCTACGGAGTGGGGGTAGTATGGAGCGACCAGCTAGAATAGTGATGTGCTGAAGGGCAAGGCAAAATTGGCAGATGGCATTGAGCTAGAACCACCCGCTAAGCACACCGAGGAGCAAGCTGCGCTGGTGGAGGAGAGAGTCCAGGTCCCGGTCTCTAATACTGAGCCCACAAAGATCCTCCAGATCGGCACTCGCCTAAACGAACCGCTTTGGTCATAATTGGTAAGTTTTTTATTAAATAGTTTAGATTCTTTCGCTTGGTTGGTGGCAGAGATGCCCGATATAGACCCTATAATTATAACTCATAAGCTTAATGAGGATCCTTTAGTCAGGTCTGTTAGACAAAGAAAAAGGAATCTCACATTGGAATGGTGGAAGGTAGTAGACGAGGAGGTTAGGAAGCTCCTTGTAGCAGACTTCGTTAAAGAGGTCTAATATCTGAGTTGGGTAGCCAATCCTGTGCTCATGAAGAAAGCCAACAGCAAGTGGCACATGTGTGTCGACTACCATGACCTCAACAGAGCCTGCCCGAAGGATAGCTTCCCCCTTCCCAAAATAGATCGTCTGGTAGACACGACCTTGGGGCACGATTTGCTGAGCTCCATGGATGCCTACTCTGGCTACAACCAAATTAGGATGGACTTAGTCGACTAGGAAAAAGAAGCATTTGTAACCGATCTGGGGCTATACTGTTAAAGTGGTGCCCTTCGGACTGAAAAGTGTTGGAGCGACCTTCCAACGACTTGTAAACAAAATTTTTGTACCAATTATTAGAAATAAAGTTGACTGTTATGTAGATGACATGGTCGTGAAGATCCAGTTTTCCTCTTCTTTACTTAGTGATCTTGATTGTGTTTTTCAAATTTTAAGAAAGTTTAATATAAAGTTCAACCCGAACAAGTGTGTCTTCGGGGTCATGTCGAGCAAATTTCTCGGTTACATAGTGAACCGACATGGCATCGAGGCCAACCCGGATAAGATAAAGGCCATGCTAGATATGAGACCACCCCAAAACATGAAGGAAGTACAAAGGCTAACTAGACGGGTAGCCGCCCTAAACCGGTTCATGTCTAAATTGGCTGGTCGATGCCTACCCTTCTTTAAAGCTATCAAGAAGAACGAGGACTTCAAATGGTCCAAGGAGTGCCAGCTCGTGTTTGATGAGCTCAAAAAGTACCCAAGTACCCCATCGATTTTAACCCGACCTAAACCTGGAGACATGCTTAGACTATACCTCTTCGCGAGCGATGAGGTGGTCAACTCTGTACTAATCCAAGAAGTAGAATGGGTCCAAAGGTTCATCTACTATATAAGTAAAGTTTTGCAAGCAGTTAAGACAAGGTACCCCGACATCGAGAAGTTGGCCTATGCCCTGGTCATCGCAGCTCAGAAGCTATGCCCTTACATTCAAGCTCAAACTATCACCGTCCTCACCGACAGACCACTGAGGCACATTTTACTGAAGCTAGAGGTCTCATGCAGATTTACGAAGTGGGCCATTGAGCTAAGCGAGTATGGCATCCTGTTCGAGCCATGCCTAGCCATTAAAGCTCAAGTCCTAGCGGATTTCGTTGTGGAATGCACATTCAGCACGCCGACCCCTGAAGTGGTTGAGTCAACCAACATGTCGGATGCGTCAACCAACGCGGCACCCATTCCAGTCAGGGAAGCCCCAACTTGGGATAAGGAACCCTGGATCCTCCACATTGATGACTTATCTAATCAGCAAGGAAGTGAAGCTGGACTCATACTGTACGGGCCAAGCGAAGTAAAGCTGGAGTATGCTCTCCAGTTCAGATTCGAGGCATCAAACAACAAAGTGGAGTACGAGGCGCTGATAGCCGAGCTGAACTTGGAGAGAGAGTGAAGGGATGAGAGATCCATCGTATGGACGCCTAGATCTTGCGGAATAAGGGGTGAATTTCAAAAATTTTTCTCTCCCTTCAACTGGGAATCGCATTCCATATTTAGAAAAACATATTTTTTAATGATCAATCTTGAACCATGAACCAAACCAAATCTGAACCAAAAGGAGTAGGAGGGAGGATGTACCTGATATGGAGAAACAGTATCTCCCAATAGAGGTGTTCACGCCCAAGGAATGATCCAAAAT